TATTAGTTCTCATGATTCTGTAGTTTGGCTGGGGTCAGCCAAGTGGTTCTGGTAGTCTCACCTGACTTACTCACATGGCTGTAGGCAGTTGCTAGTAGGGCCGGGGCATCTAAGATGACCTCATTTGCATGTCCCTGGTCTTTGTGCTGGCTCTTGGCTGGGCCTCTCTCTGGGCACTGTCTTTTGGTAATCAAGCTCAAATTTCTTTACATGGTGTGAGCATGTTCTAAAAGGACAAAGGGGAAAAAGGTAAGATCTCTGGAGGCCTGGATTTTGGAACTCACACATCACTTCGACCACATCCTGTTGGTTAAAGCAAGTCACAAGACTAGCTCAGACTCAAGGAATGGACAAATAGACTCCTCTTCTTGAAAGTAAGAAGTGCAAATTATGGTGGCCATGTTTTTCAATCTACCCTAGGTACGGATGCATATAAATTTGTAGATCTGGTGAGAGTTGAAGAGTTCCATTTCAGATGGCATTGGTTTTCTCTGTAAAGTGGAAGAAAAGTCCATCTGCTGTGAATCAGAGGAAGGAGTAGAAAGAGAGAAAGCGATGATCGGGTGTCTGAAAAGACTGCTGGTTTAAAATAATCCTTGGGCAGAATGGGAGAGATCGCTGGCAGGATATCGTTATAGGACTTGTAGCCAATGTGGCAGGCCCATTTGCAGGTGCGGCCATGCATTCAAAGCAGTATCTATTTGCTCTGTTTTGCAATTTTCATCACCAGCACTCAACAGCCCAGGTGGAGGCAGGGCAAAGACAGATGTTGGATTCATCCAGGGTTGGGGCCTTGCCAGCTGGGTATGATGAAAAGAAAATGGGATGAAAAAGGTTAGGATTATTGGCAGGAGAGTAGTTAAAGTGACAGACCATGACATTTAAGCTGGGTAAGGAATGAAACAAGGACAGAATTTCCCCTTTTACATTATAATAACTAGCTGGAAATTTTTTAATTTAATTTTTTGCAAGATAATTAAAAAATAAATACGTAGCCTCATTCCTTGCTTCCTTAATATCTGTAGCAAGAAACTATCATCAAATACATGCTAAGTAAAAGCTGAAATAATAAGTAATAGGTTAAAAGTGATTTCTCCTTTTCTTAACTAATAGATTCCCATTACTGTGACTGTTAAGGACATCCCTAACTGAAAATCTCTCAGATTTGTTGTTGATGAATTCTGCTCTCACATTCTGTTAGTGTTAAGGAGATATTACCTCTTTAAAAATAATATTCAGTACTATAATTGTGTCCTTTTTTCTGTAGTGGACACCTTTTTAAAAAATAAGCATATTACTTTATATTTTTCAATTCAAAATATATTTTGCTACACAAGAGTGTAGCAGGTAATCTTTGGGAACACAGTTAATTTCATGTTCAGTTTTTCAAACCTTAATATATTACTCTGGCTTCTTGTCCCAATATGCTTTGCCTTCCATCTAGCTGGACTGTGTGACTCCAATGAGCAGCAAAGCCAAGTCTTTTCTGGCTGGTTCCAGTACAAACATGGATCTCTCCTGTGAGACACATAGGTCTTTTTCTATCGCACGTAAACATGGTTAGGTCACCTCTGCAACCACCTGATACTGGATACCCGGGGCTATTCGTTTCCATGCAACCTCATGCCTAGAACCTCTGGGACTCTTTCTCCCTTAGTAACCCTTCCCCCACCCCCACCAGCCAAGGTCAAGTTCCATCAGATATTGTCCTTCTTGCTCTAAAACCCTGCATTCTGTTTAAATTTCAAAGTGTTGTTTTATTTACATCATTCCTCTGCTCAAAAATCTTCAGTGACCCTACATGATCTTCCATTGCCTACAGCATAAAGTTCAAACTCCTTCATCTAATATTCTAAGTCCTATATTTATTTTAGCCTGACTTATGAAAATACTTTAAGGCAGCTTGCAACAAAAATGTTAGAATTAGATTAAAATAATTAGCTCTACATAGCTAAGTTTCCCACAATCTGAGTGTTTCTCTATCTCCAATATAGCTCCTAACCAGTTTTTCCTAAGCTGCTTCCTATCCAATGAATCAGTGATTCTCAACCTTGGACGTCCTTTGGAATTATCTGGGGAATCACCCCAGGAATTCCTTTCCCCTCCTATTTTTAAATTTTAATATATTTAGTTGATAAAGATTGTATGTATTCAAGGTGTGCAACATGTTGACTTGATAATATGTGTACATTGTATAATGATAATCACAATCAAATTAATTAACACATCTGTCACCACCCATGCTGTACCTTACATCCTCAGAACTTGTTCATTTCATAACTGAAAGTTTATGTCCTTTGATCAACATATCCCCACTTCTCCCACACCCCAGCCCCTGGCAACCACCATTCTACTCTCTGTTTCTATTAACTGGACTTTTTTAGATTCCACATATGTGTGAGATCATACAGTGTTTGTCTTTCTGTGTCTGACTTATTTCACTTAATGTTCTCCAGGTTCATCCATGTTGTCATAGCAGGATTTCCTTCTTTTTTATAGCTGAATAATATTCCATTGTGTGTGTGTGTGCATGTGTGTGTGTGTATACACACACACACATTTTCTTTATCCACTCATCTCTCAATGGACATTTAGGTTGTTTTCATATCTTGGCTGTTCTGAATGATGTGGCAATGAACATATGGATACAGATATTTCTTTGAGACACTGATTTCATTTCCTTTGGTTATATACCCAAAAATGGAATTTTTGGATCCTACAATAGATCTATTTTTAATTTTTTGAGGAGCCTCCATAATGTTTTCCATAATAGCTGTACTAATTTACATTCCCACCAACAGAGTACAAGGATTCCTTTTTCTCTGCATTCTTGACAACGCTTACCTCTTGTCTTTTTTATAATAGCTATCCTAACAGGTGTGAGGTGGTATCTCATTGTGATTTTGATTTGCATCTCCCTGAGGATTAGTGATGTTGAACACCTTTTCACATACCTGTTGGCCATTTGTATGTCTTCTTTGTGAAAATGTCTGTTGAGATCCTTTGCCCATTTTTTAATCAGGTTATTTGGGTTTTTTTGCTTTTGAGTTGTGTGAGTTCCTTATATATTTTGGGTATTAATCCTTTATCAGATATATGGTCTCCAAATATTTTCTCCCATTTCATAGGTTGCCTTTTTATTTTGTGGATGGCTTCCTTTATTGTGCAGAAGCTTTTTAGTTTAATACAATCCCATTAGTCTATTTTTGCTTTCATTGCCTATGCTTTGGGGGCATATCCAAGAAATCATTGCCATGCCAATGTCAAGGAGATTTTTTACCATGTTTTCTTCTAGGAGTTTTATAGTTTCAGATATTACAAAATCAACATACAGAAATCAGCTGTGGGTGGGGCATGGTGGCTCACACTTGTAATCCTGGCACTTTGGGAGGCTGAGGAGGGAGCATGGCTTGAGGACACGAGTTCAAGACCAGTGTGAACAAGAGCAAGACCCTGTCTCTTTAAAAAATAGAAAAATTAGCTGGGCATGGTGACATGTGCCTGTAGTCTCAGCTACCCAGGAGACTGAGGCAGCAGGATCGCTTTAGCCCAGGAGTTTGCAGTTGCAGTGAGCTATGATAATGCCACTGCACTCTAGCCTGGGTGACAGAGGAGACCCTTTCTCAAAAAAAAAAAAAAATCGGTTGTGTATCTATACACTAACAACAAGCTATCTAAAAAAGAAATTAAGAAAGTAATCTCATTTATAATCAAAAAGAATAAAATACTTAGGAATAAATTTAACCAAGGAGGTTAAGGATCTATACACTGAAAACTATAAAACATTGATGAAAGATACTGAAGAAGACACAAATAAATGGAAAAACATCCATGTTCATGGATTGGAAAAATTAATATTGTTAAAATGTCCATACTACCCAAAGCTATCTACAGATTCAATGCAATCCCTATCCAAGTTCCAATGGCATTTTTTCACAAAAATATTTTAAAAAATCCTAAAATTTATATGGAACCACAAAAGATGCTGAATAGCCAAAACAATCTTAATAAAGAAAAACAAAGCTGAAGGCATCACACTCCTTGATTTCAAACTATATTACAAAGTTATGGTAATTAAAATAGTATAATATTGGTATAAAAACAGACACATAGGCCAATAGAACAGAATAGAAAGCCCAGAAATAAACCCATGTATACATGGTCGACGAATCTTTGACGAGGGTGCCAAGAATACACAATGGGGAAAGGAAAGTCTCTTCAATAAATGGTGTTGGGAAAACTGCATATCCACATGTAAAAGGATGAAATTGGAACCTTGTCTTACACCATATACAAAAAATAACTTGAAACAGATTAAAGACTTAAATATAAGATCTGAAACCAGCAATCCTAATGTAATTGATCTGGTTACAGGTGGGCATTGGGATTTGTAAAGCCCCCTGGTGATTCTAATGTGCATCCAGAGTTGAGAAGCACTGCAATTAGAACAAGTTTGTTGAATCTCCCTATGACATTCACTGCTTTCTCCATCAATAGTCCCCTTTTCTTCTTTATTTATCTAACCCCTACCCATTCTTCGAGATCCAGCTCAGATACTGCGGGATCTTTCCTTACCACCCAATGCTGATACATTCCCATAACGTGTACCTTGTTTACATTTATTTGGCTCTTAGCATATACTTCTTTGACCTTCGTGTGTTTATCCCATCTCTTCAACAGGATTAGAATGTATAGAAGTGCAGAGCTATATTTTATAGCCCTTTTTATCTCCATAACCTAACACAATTCATTTTATACTATGTGCCATTTGTGTGTTTTATGGGAGGTAAGGATGGTGATGATGATGATCATGACAATAGTAACGATGATTATGTAGCAGATACTGTGCTCTGACCAATCCTCTCAGATTTCTCTGTTTATTAACCAGGTTGCCCTGAGGTTCCTGGAACAGACTACATTTCACATGCAAAGCTGAAGTGTCTGGGAATCAAGCCACCTCCACCTTAACTTAATGACTAGTTGTTTAGAATTGTTATATGTGTCCACATTAAATCCAGATTGTGTTTTATATCAACATTTAATGTTGACCAAAGCCAAGTTACTGGACCTTTAGTCTGTCATATTGTTCCTCAAGCATGTTTTGAGATGCTTTCATCCATTTTTATAGAGCTCATTCTCAATCTTCATCACAGGGAGAATACATAGGACCTTCAGTAACGCATACACATTAGGGAAAAACTTGATGTCAGGTAGATGGAGGGCTTCGTAATTGGTGGATGGAAGCTGTATGTCTTTCCCTGTGTGCTCCCATTTGACTCTTCCACAATGAGGCTCAGCTGGGAGCGTGTTGGGATTGGCTAAGGCACTTCTGTGCATGTCAGCGTGGAATTCCTTCAGTGTATTGAACTTGAGCTGTCCCATGACGGAGGATACCAGAGATAAGCATTTAAGAGGTTTGAGGTACTGTTCTGAGAATATAGCTTTAAGTTTCTGAATAATAGCCTTTACTGTTGGAATACGTAGGGTTTCTTTATGGTAATCCTCAGAAATTAGTTGAGATTCCAAGTTGCCTTGCTGAGCTCTGCAGAATTTCCCAGGGAGTTTCATTTGGATATCAAGTTTGGTTGCCAAATTTGTGGCTTCCTCAAACCAAAACTTATGATAAATTTCAGTATTTTCCATCACTTCATTGAGTATGTGTCGTACTGCAGTCAAGCTACTGGCTGCAAAGAAGAAATCAGAGGTTTGTGCCTGGAGATTTTTTCCCAAAGGCTCTTGTAAAAGAGAGGACATTTTTAAGAACAGCAATGTTAACAATGAAATCAAAACCTGTTACTGCACTACAGAGTACAAATGCTCAGCCAGCAATACAATTATTCCATCTCATAGTTGTGTCACTCTTTATACCATCTAAACATAAAACGAGTGCTTGCAGGAGGTCTGCTAAAATTTCAAAAGCATCATGCCTGCCTGTCCACCGAGATGGCAAATTTCCTTCCATTCTTTACCCCTTTCTTCACTGTTCTGAAAAAGGACAGAAATTACATTGTCAAGTACTAAAAGCAGTTATGGTGATGAATGAAAAAAAGAACAAACTTCCTCAGTTGTTCCCAGTGCAGCAGATGTTCCCACAACAGGTGCTGATTTTGCCAACCGCATATACAAGGCACAGGAAGAGCAGAGTGTGTAGATAGCTTTGGGATATTTCTCTAGAAGTCTAGAAGCAAACAACTTTCATTTTGGAAGAAAATCCACTGGACAAAATGTAAGCCTGGCCACGACAATATTTACTTCCCACTTCTCAGTTATCTTAGTGTGAAACTTCACAGCCCAAATCTCTGCATTGCTTCATGAGGCAGGAAACCCACTAATTCCTCTCTGTGGTTCTGAGATTCATGGACCAACCTCACCAACACAGATAGGTTCTTCCCCTGCTGTATCCAATACATGGTGAGTGATAATGGAAAAGAAGTGTGAGTCTCTCACTTCCCTGAGAATTTCTCCCAGAATCACAGCTCTCACAGATCTCTGGCATCTGATGCCAGTGTGTTTTCGAAAAGAACAATGTGTGCTCTTGGCTGGCTTCTTCTGCGCTGGGGTTCTGAGTCTTGCTGTTGTTGGGTTTTTTTTTTATGTTTTTGTTCCTGTTCAGAAGTTGTGTCCATTTTTTTTTTTTCTGTTTCAGTGTCCTGATTACATCTTCTCTCAATTCTTCTATTCATTTTCTGTGTCTACTGTGTGGATGGTTCAAATGACTGGTAAGGTCAAAGATTATCCCCTAAGGACTAGTTCTACAGATTGTAGAGATCTCAAAGTGGTTGGCACCTAATTGAGAATGTTTATTTAGTCGATCAGGTGTTTTATCTTCTAGGTCTATCTGCATATCTCCACCCACTTCGAGCATTGGCGGATTCTGTGGGAACCTGAAGAAGGACTGCACACCCTTCTGCCTGCAGCCGGGGCAAGGCCAGTTTGCCATTGTCACCTGTGCAGTGGGGTTGGGGAGGAGAGCCAGACTAGCCAGGCCTGCCAGGCGACAAGCCATGATAAATTTGGTAATTTTTGACCTCTATTTAATGTATACAGGACAGAGATTGCCCCGTATTGCCTTTGGAGGCTGAAAGCCAAGAAAGGTGAAGAGTTTCTGGGATCTTACCTAAAGCTACTTAAGACTCACAGAATCTTCACTGTGGATCATGCTTCTGGGGATATTTGTGATCATCAAAATGTAAAATTGCCCAGGTCGATTTTATTTATAAATGTGATTTACTATTGTTAAATGTTAGCTTATGACATAAATTGGGAGAAATTGCACTTATCTCTCTAACTTTTCAATCATTTATTCAATATTTGTTGTATGCCTACTATAAATACTGAATCAGGCCCTGGAAATATCTAGAGACATAAGACCAGGCAGAGGTCTGCCCCCATGGACATCATAGTCTAGTCCAGTGGTTCTCAATCCTGGCTGCATATTAGAGTAATCTGGGAGCTTTAAAAAAAAATCACTGATAGCCAGGTCTATACTAGACCAATTAAATCTGATGTTTTGGGAATCAGGCCCATTCATCACTGTTTTTAATAGCTCCTTAGAAGATTCTAAGACGTAACCAAAATTGAAAATCACTGGGCTAGTGGTTATTAAGGAGTTTAGGATAGAGCTACAAATATAATCACCTGGAGAGTTAAAAAATGTATGCGTGTGTATGTATGTGTGTATGATATACGAGGTCTGTCTGGAACGTATCCAGCTATGTAATATGAAAAATAGAGATATTTATTGAAGAAATACAAGATTCAAGAAACATTGTACCTCAGTCCCCTTCAAAGGAGGCACCTTGGGACCTCACACAGTCCTCCCAGCATCTCTTAACCTAACCCGTACATGTTCAACATTCTCAGGTGCTCTGCCTGTTGCAGGCCTTCCAGAACATGGATCATTTTCAACAGATTCTCAACCATCTTTGAAGCATCTGTGCCACACTTTTATTTGTGCTGCACTCATTGCATCATCCCCGAAAGCCTTATGGATCATCCGAATGGATTCTGTGGAGGAATGTTCAAGCTTAAAGCAAAATTTAATGCAGACTTATTGCTCTGCTTGCTCAGTCATTTTGAATGTGACAGCCACATGGTACACATGTTCACTCAATGATGTCTAGTGCCCCACTGACTAGTACAGTGAGGATGTCACTGTTCACACACGTGCAATACAGTCCACTTTCCTTGGCTGCCAGGTTACATCCATGTCATGAAAACCATTCTTGTTATATTAACAATGCCTGGATACTTTCCGGACAGAC